GGGCCCTGAACCAGGTGTAGGACTGGACTCTCCCACACACATCACACGCACTCTGGTTTTTCTTCATGCACACTTCCTATAATTTATAATCTCTTTCTGCTATTTGCACATATTTTACTGTAAATTTCTAAGTTAAATCTGTAAATTTTGTATAACCTGTAAATTTGTAAATACTGTAAAACCACTGTCATTTAATGGTTGGGCATTGCATTGCACAGCCACAAGCATTTCACCTCATGTGATACTGTGTATGGTTGTGTGCGTGACAAATAAAATTTGAATTTGAATTTGTCCTGTAATCCAAGTCAGATGTTCCTAATAATGTGGCATGTGTATCTGCCAATATGTATGCTGATTTTTTGAACTTAGTGAAGGGTTCGTCTTAATTGGCAACATGTTTTACTCATTAAAAGCTGATGTTGCTGTCTCTCTCTCCTCTGCTTTGTTTCATTCTCTCATACCTTCCCTTTTTCCTCTGTCCTTCCTCTCGCTGATCCAGGTACACACTGTGGCTACATCCTTCCCCCAGTGGTGGTCAGCGCCAGTGACACGATATCTGTGTCCTTCCAGTCTGACAGTCGCCTCACAGACCGCGGATTCTCTGCCAAGTGGGAGGCTGTGTACCCTGAGGATATCACAGGTACTGAGCGCTGATGAACACACTCGCAGGAGTGCAAAACACACACGCGAATACACACACACGCAAACACACAGGAGCACCTCCACACCTGAGGCACATAATGCTGTAGCAGTACAGCATCTCATTTAGACAGAACATAAAATCCTTCCTCCTCTGTCACATATTTACAGTGGATATAAAAAGTCTACACTCCCTTGTAAAAATGCCAGGCTTTTGTTATTAAAAATAAATCGTGTCAAGGATTTTTTACACCTTCAGTGTGATCTATAACCCATAAAATTCCATTCAAAAACACATTTATACCTTTTAATCTGTTTAAACTTACAATAGCCTGGTTGCATAAACATTCACAAAGTTAATTAATGCTTTCTTGAAGCACCTCTTGCTTTTTGGGTAGGCGTCTATCACCATGATACATCGCAACTTGGCAATATTTGCCCCCACTCCAAATCTGTCCAAGTACGAGAGTATCTCTTGTGCACGGTCCTCCTCAACTCGTCCCACAGATTTTCACCTGAGTTCAGGTCTGGGTTCTGGCTTTGCTGTTACAAAACTTTAATGTTCTTTGATGTTCTTCTGGTGAAGCCAGTCTTTCTGTTGTATGCTTTGGGTCATTGCTGTGCTGAAAGGCAAAACCCTTCTTCATCTTCATCTGTCTAACCTGAAGATTTGTATCAAAACGGACAAATATCTGAAACGGGTTGTAATTCCCTTCACCTTGCATAAAGCTCCGGCTGAAGAAAAAACAGCTCCAAAGCATGATGCTACCACTGCCATGCTTTACTCACGTGCAGTGCTGTTTTTGTGCCTTTTGGAATTAGCGGAGAAATATAGTTGTTGCATAAATAGGGAGAGCTCTATCAAAGCGCAGGAGTGCATAGTGACAAGCATCCAAAGAAAATGATAAAACTCCTTTCTTTATTTTAATCATAGTTATGAAGCTTGAGAAGAATTTGCAGCTGCGCATCTGGTGAAGAAAAAGTTAAAGCACCAATCACACAGTGTAAAAATATAACGCTAAAACTCCTGCTGTCTACTTGAATAAAACACATAAAGGTTATCAGCAGACTTCAGTGCTGTGTCAAAAATGAGTTTGGTAAATATACTGAATTATTAATATGTTTTAATGGATGTTTTAGCCATCATCATGTAAGCTGTGCAGTGAAGGTGAATGTTTTAAACTGTCCATCATATTAAATTGTTTATGAAAAATGAAAAAATGAAAAGTTTAAAATAAATTCAAAATAATCAAAGAAGTTAAAAATGCTTCAAAGTTATACTTAATGCAACGGAGTAAATAGCCAGTTACATTCAATACTATGCTTCATAGTAGGCTCTCGTGCAGTTTTCTATCATTTCCCCTGTCTGTTTCAGAAATCCTGGGTTGTGGCTTTTCTTCAAAGGAGGAAACCGGAGTTATCAAGTCCCAGGACTGGCCCATGAATTACAAGGCCAACACCGAGTGCATGTGGAACATCAAGGTGCCTTCGGGAAAAAAAATCACGCTGACATTCACCCATTTTGACCTCGAAGCAAAAGATGCCCTAACGTCCACATGCTATGATAACATAATGGTCTATGACATCAATGGTCTGACTTCTGCACTGATTCAAAGCTATGGTAAGCAGGTTTTTACAGCTGCCAATGTCTGTTCCCCAAATAATTTGTACCTGCAGAGCGAAAGTAACTGAAAGTCCTGCTTCGGTTAATTGAAGAAGCTTTTTTGTGTCACTTTGGAACTGTGGACAAACGTTTTTGTCATCAATCCTTTCAGGTCAGTTTTGTGGAACTACGCTGCCTGATCCCATCCAGACAAACGGCAACAGGCTGCTGATTCGTTTCCATACAGACTTGCTTACTGAAGCTAAAGGTTTCAGGGCCTATTGGACAACAAACCCCAGCCTGCCTGCTCCAACTGAGCCACCTGTTCAGCCCAATCCCTGGGACAACATCATCATAGGTGGCGTATCTGCTCCAGCCCCACACAGTTTATTACAAGCACCTAGACTGCATACGTGAAGCTGCATCGATCCACACTTTTCTACGAAAATAAATCGACTGATCTGTGTTGAACTCATAAACAATATGTTTATTCCCATCAGTTATACAAGGCCTGTTGTGGTGCACTGTTTTAGATTTCCAGTTCGCTAGGTTCAGGTTCACATTTGTTCCCTGTAGCATTAGACAGCTCAAAGGTCTTTCAATAGAATACAGTGTCAACTGTGTGCGCAAAGAAGCATTTCTTTGCTAATAAATTAGCAATGACAACCTTAAAAGGCAGTAATATATCAGATGTCACGTTGTCAGCGTGTCACACTGAATCCGAGTGGCAAAACAATAAATTAGTGCGCTGCATTTAACATCGCTGTTAAACACTGCTGCAAGTACTGAAACAGTCAGGCAGCATTTGCCATAATTAGGGACAGTGGAGCTCTGCACGGATTGAAATAAAGGACCTGCAATTTGTCACAGCACGGCTTCAATACCTGCAGCTATTTTATAAAATCGATCACTCTGTTTAGTATTTCTTAATCTTAACTAATACACTTTCAGCTGGGCAGTAGTTCCCACTAGCCAATTAAACTGACCCCCAGATAAGAGTTTAGCACAGCTGTTGCACAGACACATTTCACACATTCATCTGATTCATGATTTCTGCTTATTCTTTCTTCACACCCTCTTTACTGTCTCCCAGATGTGCAGTACAGCAAGGTGATTTGATGTGCCGACTTTTCCTACTAACTTGCCGGTTGTCACCTGATTTCCATTCTTCAATTGCCAATGAGCCCCAGGTGGCGCAGGGCCCTGCCAAACCGATAGCTGAAAATAGTTTTATAGATGGGCTCCACTGCCTAGGAGATTTTACTCATTCAGGCTCATGCAGGGTCGCCCTGTGAATAGAATGACGCAAGTAAAATGAGTACAAAGGAAGAAAATGTGTGATAAGAGTGACTGGGACAGTTTAGTGGGAAGTCTGTAGATTAATAAATTTATATCTTCACGCATGTCCATGTTGTGACATCAATTAGCTGAATTTTGCCGCAGGAGCATCGTATTATTTTTGAATGAAGATAAAGACATTGCAGTATGTGTGCATATTACTAAAAGCCAGAATCATTAGGACACACCACACAGTTTAAACCTGATACAACTGGAAAATTATTTTTAAAAAAACACAAGTCTGTTAGCTGCTGATACGTGTCGTCTATTCAGGCTTTATTTACACAGGCACAGATTTGTTTGTGTAGCCTGTACAGTGCACAAACAAATCATTTCTCGAGAGACTCTGTACATGTGGGTGTTTGCCTTTCCAGACTGGCCAAGCACATGTGGGAAACCAGCCATTCCTCCTGCTGTTGTGTCACGTATTGTGAATGGAGAGCCAGCCACACCGCACTCCTGGCCCTGGCAAGTGTCCATGCAGGTGAGAATCTCCATGTGCCAGTGAGGAAAATTCACAGAAAGATGAAAACAAATGGCATTGAAAAGCCTCACGAGTACATAACCTGTGCAGTTACAGTTTCCTCACAATATGATATCAGTGTCCTTTTCTGTATCCTATATTAATTTTCTGATTGACTGTACAGATCTGAACCCAATGCTGTTCATCACATTTAATCATCATCATCATCATCATCCTGTTTAGTGAGTTTCTTCTCTGCTTGTTTCAGGTCTGGCCGACCAGTCAGCCAGAACCCACATTCTCCCATACCTGCGGTGGTACTCTTATTCATAAGAACTGGGTACTTACAGCAGCCCACTGCTTTATAAGGTACATGTTCAGTTCCCTCATCAATAAATACATGTACTATTTCTAGTAATGTGTTCCAAAAAAA